TGTGTGTGTGTGTGTGTGTGTGCGTGTATCACGGTATGTGTGTATTTCTGTCTGTGCGCGTGTGGGATGTATTGTGTACTGACACTGTACTCATTGTTCTCCCCGTCTGTCGTGTGGCATTGCAGAATTTAGGTCTGACCCTGTTAACGACAGCAGAAGTGGAAGAAGCAGAAGGGAGAAGAGAAGAGGGCAACCGTCAACATGATGAAGCCGGCTGTACCAATCGTCGCCCTTGTGGCCATAGGGCTGCTGTTGCTCGTTGTGTACCCACCCACCGTTGCTGGTGGCTGGATATGTCATCCTGAAACCGACCAGAACGCATATACAAGGAAGAAAATCGACTGCAACAAGTTTCCGGGTGCGGCAAGCGTGAGTGGGTGCCAAGCTCTGTGTGACAATGACTCCAAGTGTTACGGAATAGTTTACGCAGATATCAACTGGCCCAAAGGCAAGTTCTGCTGCTTCCTCAAAAGTAAAATCGACCCTAGCAAGTGGCAGAACCAGGTGGGCCGCACTCTCTGTGAGTACGAATAAGAGGATTGAGTCCGATTGACAGAACAACTGCAGTGGACTATCGGTTCCAGCTGCGGTTTGAACGGCAGTGTTGCACTGAAGAAGAAGAGCTATCTATTCACCACTGGTAGTGCCAGCTGCACTCAAGAAGAGCGAAGCACGCAAAGCAAAGACAAGAAGCACCACCGGTCCGGGGGAGAGCAGCACCAGAGTGTAGTASTATAGATGGTATCATCACGATGGGACACTTGTCATATTGTTGCCTACGTCAGCTGCACTGCTGCCGYGCTGCCGTAATCAACTGCAATTTATGTGCAATGATCATTCATTAGCAAGACTAGACGACATGTGCAAGCAAGCTGATGRTCCGYGATGGAGTATTAAATGCAGTGAGAAAAAAAGATCACGACCAAACGCTTATCATAGAATGTGTAAGGATGCTACTAGACATTGCTAGGTCCTGCAAGCGCAGGGATGCAAATGGCAATGGCAGGCCGAAAAAAAAAACACAGTGTGGCTTTTCCGACTTTCCTGTTTGGTGACCTGATGAGTGCCAGGCACGAGACGACTTTCCTGTTTGGTGACCTGATGAGTGCCAGGCACAAGACGACTTTCCTGTTTGGTGACCTGACGAGTGCCAGGCACAAGAGCTGTCACAGTCACAGTGCTGCCTGTGCAGAAAGAACGACTTTTACGACTGATAGTTTGCTGCTATATTGTTGATCTGCAAGAAGGAAAAGAAGGTGCCTCTCGTTGTTGTGTCTGTACACTCTTATCGCCGTGTCCTTCTCCTCCTCATCCYCCTTCTTCTTTTCAATTTGCTTATCTTCTTACAGGTCTTCCATTCCTCGTGCCTTCTATTTTGAAAATTTGAACGGAGTGTCGATGATCAAACGCTTGTCATCGAATGTGTAAAGATSCTAGTCCCTGCAGTYGCGAGCATGCCATTGGGWTGATTGGGAGAGAATTTGGGACGATGGTTTTTCGCGTTTCCTTTCTTTTCCTTTCCTTTCTTCTGTTTGCTGACTTGATGACAACGATGAGCGGCAGGGCTGCACAAGAAGTTTCGGTGCAGAGAAACGAGTAATATCATAATGACCGCTACYGCTAGACCGTTTGTCGCTGACTCGTTGTTTCTTGGCATTGTTGGGAAGAAAACAGAGGTGCCTGAGCTCTCGCTTTCGGTCTACTCTCTCTTCTCGCTCCCTTCCTCTTGCTCTWGTTCTCCCTTTACTTTTGCCGGTCATTCCTCTTGTCTGCTTTCCCGCATGCTGAACTACACTTCGCTCTCCTACAGCACAGGACCTGGATGAACACCTGAGTAAGAAGTCGTCCTCTCCTGCTCGAACAATGCCTCATGGATTCATTGGATTGCAGCCGACTGCTGAATAACCTGGTCCAGGAATGATTGCACACTTCCACTGCTTAAGAAGACCACACACACACACACACAAAAAAGAAAAAAAAAGAAAAAAAAAAAAAGAAACAAGTGCGGTAGTAGCACACTTTCAAACTGTAAAGGCAAAAAAAACACTAATGGGCAACGGAAAAATGGTCGCAGTTCGAAAAGGCAGTCATAACATCAGAAGGCGGTAACATCAGGCCCCGAGTTTGAAAAGGGCGGTTGTAGCACCCTTTTTTTTTT